AGGGTCAACCCATCACAGATGTGAATTACACAAGTTTATCAATCAGTAGTATGGCTTTCTGTTATTGTTTATCCCTCATAGTTTAGCTCGAGGCAACAGTTTTACACTCCCTTCTGTCAGGTTAACAGGAGCACAGTATATATTTTCAAGCAGCTTCTATTAGGGAAAAAAAACAACAAAAAACCACAACCAAAAAAACCAAAAAAAAACCTACACCAAAAAAATCAGCATGGTACATGGAGAAAAAACAGAATCTAAAATGTTTTGAAGTCCACACCTCTGTAAGGTTTTGAAGGCATTCTAGCTAGTTTTTAAACAGACTCAAAAGACACTACAAAGCAATATGCAGTGTATTGCAAACAGCTGAGATAGAAAGCTTACCAAGTAAAATCCTTATATTTGTCAAAGCAAGCATTAGATCCTCAAACATTAACTCTTCCCAAACTGCTTGCTTACAAAACTTCCCATGCTACGTAGCACTCAAACTTTAGAGGATCAAAGACTACATATTTAAGACTTGACTTCTATCTCGCATCCAAGGATTAATTCTAACACCAAGGTACAGCAGAAGCTGAGCACAAAGAACTACACTGAAACAAGTCGTTAGCTTTGTTGATTCTGGACTTGCTCAAGGTAAACTCTAATAATGTAGAGTTCACGTTACTCTGCTAACAAGCTTCTAAATACACAGTTTTTTTGTTTTGTGGTTTTTTTTTTTTTTTTTTTTACATTCAGCAATGTACTCCAGTCTTAAAAAAAAAGAAAAGATTGGTTTCAGTCTTATTAAGAACGCAAATTAAATTTACAGTTACCCTGCAAGAAACATGATTTTTTTCCTCTACCACCAGTTCTCTGTAAAACTTGTCATTTATAGATGCTTCAAAATTTCCTTCCACCCATCGAATGTTTACAAAAGAGCTGCCTTTGGGCTAAAGCTACCTTCCAGAATAATCCAAGTGAAGAATAAGAGATCCCAGTGTTCCCTTTGCATCTCAGCAATGGAAACCTGAAGACTGGATTTGTCAGCAG